CATTTTGGGGGTATCAGCAAATTATCTAAAATGCTTGAAAATTTTGGAAATTTATAGGAAAATTAGTTTAACATCAAAAGTGTAATTAAATAAAATTTAATGTTTACACATGCTTTTTTGGCTAGTTTATACACATACATATTTACCCCTAACAATTAATTAATAAATTACCTTTCAACTAACAAAATCTTTTAAAATTGCCAATCTTTTATTTAAACAATTTAGTAATTCCTTTCTTTTTTTTCTTTCTTTTAAAGCTTTTCTTTAAACTTTAAAATAAAAATATTTTTTTTTCTTTCAATTTCCGATCGAGCAATTAATTAATTTCATTTCTCCCTCATTAATCGAGAGAAGAACGATCAGGTGGACAACCGGTAAAAATAAAGGAAAAACTTTATAAAAGAAATAAAAATCGAATTTTTTAACCGGAAAAAACAATTTTTTGTTTTTCATGACGATAGGGATTTTTTGGTTTTTAATTTTCTAATCATTTAGAGAGATTTGTTTAGTATTTTTTACCACGAATATTTTCTAATTAAATTCAAAAAGTAGTAAAGTCTGACTTTAATAATCTTGGAGAATAACTGTAAATAGCCTTCCTTAATCTAGAATATTTTTATTCGAAATAAGGAAGATTTTTTGTTCAAAAAAATATTTTTGAATATTTATATATTATTCAAGACTAAAATCTAAAAATTTAAGAAAAAAGAATGAAAAAAAATATAAAATGATTTGTGGCCTTTAAAAATATATGTGTATTTATTAGCTTTTCTTTTTGTCTTAAAGTTGCCTTAAACTCCTTGTTTTTCTCGCATTTTTTAGTTTGTTCTCCTTTCCCCCACAAACACTCACACATTCACCTCCTTTCCTCCGATAAACATAACAAATAATCCCTTAAGATTTTCTTTCCTCCTCCCCTCCCCTCCCCTCCTTTTTTTCTCCATCTTGTTATAAATAAATAAATATTATTTTATTTTTAATTTTTTTTAAAATTTTTTATTAGTCGGATCTTACTTACACGACATCTCTTGATAGAAAAAATTAATGATAAAGTCCTACAAGAGAGGATCGGATCTCATTTATGTGTCACCTTTCGAGTAGCAAAAGTCTGACGCCAATGTGTGGCATTTCAGTTTTTTAAAGTCAAAGTAATATCACTCAATTTGGGAGCTGAATAATTAATACTTCTATATAAAATGTAACTCTTTATAAGATGCGACTTTTCAGCCCCAATTGTGTGCTTTATAATAAGGTCTGATTGTATTTACTATATTTTCTCGCAGCTTAAAAAAATCTTTTCCTCATTTTATTTTTTTTCTTCTTTTTACAGTTAATACAAAAAATTATTTGGCCTTTTTTGGCCCAAAAATTTTCCATTTCTTTGTCTGATTTATTTATTTAATACCAATGTGGCCTTCAGTAATTGTCCCTACTCCAAGTTCTTGTGTACAAGAAAGACCTCGTCATCATATAAAAAAGTTGTGGGGCCCTTTTTGTTGTTGGGTTGCGATGAGAAGGAAAAGAAGAAAACAAAATAATTTAAAAAAACGTCCTTATTTTCCCTTAGAGGGGAATAATCAAAATAATTATCAATTATTTGGTATTCCAATTCATTCCCCAACAGAATATTATTTATTTCTGGAAAAATATTTTAATTGGGGACAACAACAAAATGAGATTGAAAGGAGAGAGTTGGAAGGGAATAAAATGAGTAAAAGTAAGGAAGAAGAAAATTTTAAAATCTGGTGTGATTTACTATGGGACCAGGCACCATGTTTTTCCTATGAAGCTACCCCATCCCTCCCAATATTCCTTTATTGGAGGGATGGGGTAGGTTCTGATTTTGGCAAGGTTCTTGTTTTGCCATATGATGGAGATAACCATAAAAATTCTAAAAAAAATCTTCTAAACTTCAAATAAAATTTAAATATTTTTTAGAATCTTTCGTTGATGGTTCTTCTAATTCCTCAAGTTTTAACGAAAATTGGGATTGCTGTACTTGTCCTGGAAAGCCTTCAACTTCAACGGACTACCAACCTTCGATTTGTGGGCAATTAACTGTTTCAATTCGTAAAAAGTTTGGTCAACCTTTGGGGCTTGGAATTGCTGGTGAATATTAATTTTAACCCAGACTTATCTTATGTCGAGATCAAACTGTACTATTAGTGAAACTCTTTAAGATATATAGTAATCATTCTCTGAAATAACGATTCTTTTTTCCTAAAATTGTACAAAAAATTTAAGGAGGTTCTGACAGACCAATGCCACCAACAATTTCCTATCTAAAACCGGGATTTGTTGCACAACGTTGTGATCAAATTCAAGTAAATATATATTTGTAAATTTAATTTTTTTAATTAAAAAAGGTTGGTGACAGACTTTTAGAAGTAAATGGAATTAAAGTAAATAAAGGATTGACTCATTCAAAAGTTTTGTCTCTTTTACGTGGAAATAATTTATTAGAATTAAAATTAGAATATGATTTAAATGAACAACAAAGAGAAGAACTTTTACTTAATAGAAAGGAAGGAATAATTACAAAAACAACAGAAATCGAATTAAGGGATCAAATGCCGTCAGATGGGGATTTTGGACTTTTTGGGATTGTAATTAGAGGAGGGGCTTTTGGACCAGATTTAAACAAAAATAAGCCTATTACAATCACCTCAATTCGTGTTGGAGGGCCGGCACACAGAGATGGACGTATTAGACCTGGTGATAGAATTGTAGCTATTAATGGGGTAAATATAAAAGTAATTTAAAATATTAAAAAAAATTTTAAATGAAAAGATTTCTGTGAATGATTCTACTCTTTCTGGTGCAATTAATTTAATTAAAACTTCGCCTCAATCAAAAGTTAATTTAACTGTGGAATATGATACTTGCAATTTGGGTAGGTGAGAGAAAGAGAGAGAAAGTTGTTTTGTTATATCAGGAAGTTAATTTTATATAACCCCTGAAACATATCCCTGAAAGTTTTTTAAAATTTGGTTGGCCACTGGGTGAAATGGGGCGATAATTAAGTAATACCTCCAATAATTTTAAATACCTCCAATGACTATATTTTCATAAATTTTCAGCCTCTCTTCGTAAAGCTCCAAACTCTCTAAGAGTTGAAATAGAGAAAACCCCAGGCGTTGATTTTGGTATTGAATTAGCTATTAAACAAGTACCTATATGGCCAACTGGAAGTAGAAGAGCTGTTATAGTTGAGGGGTTAGTGCCGGCTTCTATTGCTGAAAGGTAAGAAGAAAATTTGAATTTTGGAGAGTTTATTCTTTGATTTATGAATTAGAAATGCTTGTAAATTTATATTTTGATCAATGGACAAAAATAAATCCACTAATAGATACCTCCAGTTGGGGGGGGGGACTGTTGGTAACATCAAATCCCTTTATGTATAAGTAAAGAGATAAAATTTTTCAATTTAAAGATGTGGTGCAATTAAACCAAACGACGAAATATTGTCAATAGATTTAATTAGTTTAAAATTAATTTCTAGTCTAAATGAAGTTTATCAACTTTTAAATAGCCATAGTTCCTTAATAAGACTTGAATTATTACCTGCTGAAATGAGAGGGAAAATAAATTTACAAAATGGAGAATGTCAAAAGTGAGTGAAATTAACATCAAATATGAGAGATTTAAGCTTCTTTTTAGAATTATTAAACCTTTTATTTCCTTCCATTTATAATATTTATATTTTTACAGATTGTCACAAAATCTTCCCGAATTTGATGAAATTGATTTAAATGAAAAGAATAAAAATAAATTATTTTTTATTAACAACTTCCCCTCCTTTTCTTCTTCTCAAAAATTTCCATCAAAATCAAAAAGAAAAGGTCAGTCAAAAACAAATTCTTTTTTGAGTTAAAATTTATTTTATGACAATTTCTGATTTTCCATTTGGTCCTCATTACCCAACAAAATAAATAAAAGTTTTTAAAAAAAGAAAAGAAAAGATTGGTCAAGCAAGTAGAAAAAGTCCATCTTTCTTTTTCTTAAAAATTTAAAGTTTTTCCTACTTTTGATTGATATTTGGAGATCACAAATAACGTTGAAAAAACAAGAAATGTTTTGTTTATATAATTCAATTATTAATCAAAAAAATATTTAAAAAAATTCTTTTATTTTTAATCAACAACCCAAGTATTTTATTCTAATATTTCGAGAAATAATCGGAAATCAAATCATTCGGACATATAAAAATATTTTGAAAATTATTTTTAGACCCAAAATTATATTGAAAATAAATTTTTATTCAAAAAGACTTTTGAGGAATATGATATTTGGAGGAAGGTCACAATAGTTGGATCTCGCTATAAGATACACCCAAAATGCCTTTCCCCTTCCTTGATAATTTAATAATTTAAATAAATTTTGAATAAAAACAAAAATTTGATTCAAAAAAATTTCTTAGAAGTTTATTTAATTTTTTATTCTCCTTTTTATTATTCCTAAATGAAGCCTCTTAACTTCCAAATCCCTTTATATATTGGTCAATATAATAATAATAATTCCTCCAATTCCTTTGCAATCAATCTTCTCTTTATAATCCTTTCATTTTATCCCCTCACATTTATTTCACTTTTGCCACAGTTTCTTTTAGGCTTTTCTTAGTATTTTTTTCTTAAAAAATGTTCCACGTATGTTTTCACTATACTGGCCTTTTGGGCATTGGAACCGTTAGTGAGTTACTTTTTCTTACACAGCGACTTTTTGCGATTGATACTTGCCGGCAATACTAAACCCTATTGAACATAAAAACGGCGACTGGGTCTTAACCAGTGCCATAACTATTTTGGTGGTATGGTTCTCGATACTAGAGTTATTAGGCGAACGGAAGAACCAAGGATTTTTCGGGTGGGGTTGTCTGTTCGTTTCCGGATATTAAAGATTTCCTACACTTACTTATCTCAATTTGAAATAAGCAATTCAATGAATTATCCTATCCGTCCATTCTATGTACTTTATTTTTTCTATAATAATTTAAGGCTCAGTTTCCGCTCGTCTCTCATATAACGGTTCACGTGTTAATGGATCCATTAATCATACAGAAACAATGGAATTATCACTAGCTCAAGAAACAACACAAAGTTGGCCTTCCTTCGGAATTATTTTGGGTAAACAACAAAATGATTTTGTTGAGGAAGATGAATTGGAAGGAAATCAAGGGACTTCTCTAGTTGTTGAACGTATTGAAAAAGGATCCCCTGCTGATAAGTAGAAAATTGGTTTAAGCTTATCAAAATAATTATTTTCTTGCTTAGATGTGGAATTCTACAGCCCGGTGACAGAATTCTCTGTATTGATGACTGGCACACAGCTGATGGCACTTTAGAAGAAGCCAGTCATTTACTAAGAATTCTTTCTCTTTCTGGCAATCGTTCTGTTACTCTTCTTGTTGAATTTAATGTTATTGAGGTGATTCATAATAATTTTAAAATTATTTTGCAAAAGAAAATTTAATGTTTTATCAGTCGAATCTCACCACAGTTAACCTACTTATATTGGGTAGGGCAATACTCTTTATTTAAAATAACCTTATTATGGTACGCATAAAATTTTTCAATTTTTTTCTTATATTTAGTGAGGTCCAACTTAATATTATCAGTTTTTGACTTAAATTTATTTCAGTGTAAAATTTTTCTCATATCAATTTTCAGCCCGTCCTTCCCCCAGCACACGGCTCTTTTTTTGTTATGAGATTAGCTAAATGTGGCAAATGTCTTGGTATTGTTTGCCAAAGTCATCAAAATGGAACGGCTAAAGGAGAACCTTTAATTATTTCACATATTAGAATTGGAAGTGTTGCACATAGGTAGTATATTTTATTTTTGACATAAAAATATTTTTAAAATATGAGTTGTCACCTTGCCATAGGTTTTGAATCCGAAAATATGGAATAGCGATACAAAGATAGAAAAATAGTGTCTTTATCATTTTATGGAGTAGGCGATGGTTTTCTAATTAAATTTAACTTTTTAATTGACAAGTCAAAATCTTTTTTCTCATAACTCTCCAACTTTATCCGGGTCTTTTATTAAAATTATAAATTTAAAAAAAGATGTGGATCAATCCAAGTTGGGGACCAAATCCATTCAATTGATGATATACCTTTGGATACATGTACTTTAGATGAAGCTATGCGTTTATTACAAAGATCTGCTAGAATAGTTAAATTAGTTATAATTAAGGGAGGTGGACAAGAACAAGTAAATAAAAATTTGGAAAGAATTTTAAAATTCTCTTTTAGCATTTATTAGAATCGCCCCAATCTTTTGTATATACTGTTGAATTATTGAGAAGGGGAAGGCCTTTAGGTATTACAATAGCTTCTGCTGGGGGTGCTCTAGATCCAATAATTATTTCTAAATTAGCACCTAATGGATTGGCAGAAAGGTAATTTTTGGGGTTTTTTGAAAAAATTTTTGAAAAAAATTTAGAACAGGAGCCTTAAATATTGGTGATCAAATTATTGCAGTTAATGGGGAACTTTTAGAAGGAAAGAAGGTGAGAGGGGATATTTTGATTTAAATATATATTCTTTAAAGGTTAGCCAAGTAACACAAATTCTACAACAATGCCCAGACCCAATTTCTCTTAAATTAAGCCGTCCAATAGCTCCAAATATTGATATTAAATTGCCTTGTTTGTTGTTTTTTATTTCAAAATCTAAAAATAATTTTTATTTAAAGATTGTCGAAATTTTAAAAAGTTTGAAAATACAGCAATATTAGAACAAGAAAATAATAAAAAATTAGTTGGAATTAATTCAACACCAAAAAAGAGTGTGGATAGTGCAATGGATTCTTTAGAGGTGCTTTTTAAATAAATTTATATTTTACATACCCTTAAATTAAAAAAAACTAATTTAATAAATAATTAAACGACCATTTACATAATTTAAACGTCCTAAAATAGAAATTATTTTAATTAATTTAAAGGGTTCACCTACAGGAAGGCAAATAATTCCAAGATATTCTTCACTTTGTCGTCCCTCAACATCTACAAATACACAACAAAGTTGGTCTTCTTATTTATTTTTTTCTTTTCTTCTCTTTTTCTCAGTTATTTATTCACCTTTCAACCTTTACCATATAAAAAATATTTTATCAAAAATTATTAAATATTTATTTCAGCAACAGATCCAATATTCAGTACATATTCTGACCCTTATAGCAATGGAGGAGGAAATGGAGGTTTAGATTCAGGTTTAAGTTCAGCAGCCGCAACAGACAGTCAACCTGGCGGTATTCAATCAAGTTCTCAAACAAAATGTTGTGAATGTCAATTTGAAATTGATGGAAGTGGAACACATTCTTTTTGTTGTTCAAATTCTCCAAATTCTTCCTCTGAAAGAAAAGGAAGAAAAGAAGAAAATGATAATGAATGGATGAGAATACTTGAAGCGTTAGAAGTGGTTAGTGAAGCTGAAATGCTTAGGAAATTGGAAGAATGTATTTTAAATGGAAGTGCTTCTAACTATGTTCCTCCTTCTAATAATAAATCGAGGTAAGGACAACTTTTTGTTCTTGTCCTTTGAGTGAGTTTCAATAATTGGGTGCCCCCTCAAATCCCACCAGCTATCCCACTTCCACTTTTATTCCTTTAAAAATTTAAGATACGGCTTTCAACAAATGTTTCCCTCTGAGTTAGGAAATATTCTCTCTCATCAACAATTAGTCTCAACTAACAATAATTATGATGTTGTTGATAATATAAACCAATCTATTGATAAACAAACACAAAAAATATTTCCATCTCAAGAACTTCATAAGAAATACGTTGTTGCTAATCATTCTCGGTCTGGTACTCCTACTATGATGAAGAGGTGATTTTTTATAATTTTTAGAAAGAAAATTGGGAGGTTACATACATACATATGTCAGTTTTAAAAGTAAATACTCTTAGTTTGTGGACCCTGAATCCGGTTAATTTTTGAGGACTACTTGCAATTTTGGGTTTTCAGAACATTTTTCTGCGAAATTTTGAGTAAAAATTTCCTAAATCCAAATCTCAAAATATATTTAGTTCATTCTTCTTTAATTTCTAGTTTAAATAGTTCTAATATTTGTATAAATCTTAAATTAAAAAAATAGTCAACAACAACAAAATGGAGAACTTCCACCAGCAATGCCCTCTCCACGTATTTCAACGACAGACCCTCCTCCATTTACAATAGCAACATCATCAACATTTACCTCCTCACAAAAAAGTATTTCCACAAATTCACTTCCTTCTTGTACATTAAATAATTTAAAACAAGAAAATGAAATAGATGAATTTAGTGAAGTTTTTAGTGTTCAATTAAAAAGATGCCCTCTTACAAAAAGTTTTGGGTTTTCCGTTTGTGATGGACTTATTGGAGAAGATGATGAAATAATTGAAGAATTAAATGAGAAAAATACTATACAATTAACACCTACAGGAATTTATATTCGTTCGTTAGTTAAGGATGGACCAGCTGAGAAATGTGGAAGGATACAACCTAGAGATAGAATATTACAGGTGAATATTAATCAAATGACAATAAAACATACTCAGAGACTGTGGAGTTGCAACAATAAGAGTGACTGATTCTGTGAAATCTCCAGATACATATATGGGACGAAACATTAATACCATCCGAATCTCAAAAATCGTGAAACCATAATGGGAAGCACTATCTGACTTAATTAGATTTCTTAAGTACGAATACTCGTAAGCGACCAAAAATAAGGATTTTTAAAAAAATTTCTAAATTTAAATTTAAAAACTTCTTTTAAGATCAATGGAAGGTCAATACAATTTTTAACCTGTGATTTAGTTCTTCCACTTTTAACAACAGAAACTGTTGATCTACTTTTACTAAGGAAAAAATGACAAATTTAAAAAATATTTACTATTTATTAATTTTAATGCTCTATAATTTACTTCCTAATCTTTTTTTATTGTTTAGAAAATTTAAAATTTTTATTTTACAAATGCTTGTATCTTTTTTCCGTGACTGTATTTATATGTATAAATAGTATGTGAATAGATATATTTAAGATATGTAATGATGATGATTTGGATAATAATTTGGAATGATATAGTATATGGGATACAGGGGGATCACGGAGGATTCGGGATTATTAAGGGATTATTTGTAGATATCTTTTGCTTTTTTTCGCTCATTGATTGCTGAATATTTGTATTCAAATCAAGGCTTCCTCCTTTTGTGCTACAGGTAAAAATTTCAGATTTAGGAAGGCTTGAGGCCAGATTTATTCCAATTTTTGTCCTCTGGGTATATGTATTTATACCCTTACTTAAAATACCCTTACTTTGGTCTTACGCTTTCTGCTGCCAGTTATCATACTTTTTCTTTTTCATGCCAAAATTTACTTTTCAATCTCTGGACTTACACTCTCATGAATGCCAGATAATTCAACTACGACGTCAGTCCACACTCTACAACCAAATACTCACTAATTGCTTAAAGCAATTCACTACACCTCGTCACATTTCACTCAATGTTGCTGTTGACGATTGTTGACGCTGCTGTAGACGTTCTGTAGACGAGCTGGTTCTTTTCGTTGTCGACTGCGTAGCTGTGATGTCCGAGGGTTGCTGATGTAGACGTTGCAGAAGATCAACGTTTTCTGTAGTAGAAATGTACATGTGTGTGAAGATGGACTGGGTAGAAACAGACGAAGGGAATCAGGGACTAGACGGGCTAGTATGATATCCAAATAGCCGACGCTGACACGGACTTTTATACTATAGTGACACCACTACACAACAAGAACCGCCTGCTCACATTTTTCACTGTATAAAAAGCGGGCTCTTCCGAAAGGATTACCTACTATCAAATCTTCATTTCTCTTCAAACAACAAAACTTCAAAAACAACACAAAATCCAAGGATGTTCTTCCTGCTCTTTCTTCTAGCTCTGCTGGCTGCTGGATTCTTCATGTTCAGTCAAGGACAAGCTGGAAAGGTGATACTTTACTCTTATGTTTAAAAAACGTTTCTATTATTTTTTTATTTTTTCAGAATGTTGATCCTGTCGAGCCGGAGCCCAGTAGACGCAGAAGCAAACGTTCCAAACGTTCTACCAAAACAGTCGACACCATGGCCTTGCTGGATGAAGACGAGGAATTGCGAATTGTGGTCGAGGATGAGCGCCCTCTCCCTCTTCATGTTGAGCCTCCTCCAGTCTTTCCGCCTGCTCCAGTTCCGTCTTCTGAAACATCATCTGCCGAGAAAACATCTACATCTGCTGAGCCTCCTCCATCTTCAAAGCCATCTCCTTCAACAGTGACAGAGCCTAAGAAGGATGCCGAAGGTGCGGACAAGAAAAAGCCTGAAAAGACGAAGGAGAAGTCATCGAAAGCGAAGTCAACTTCCAAGCGTGGAGGCCGCAAGGATAGCAAAAGTCCTGCTCCTGCTGCTGGAACACCTGCAAAAGGGGAAAAGACGAAAAAAGGTAGAGTTATTTATTGTTAGCTTGGTTAATCTAGTAAAAATTTATTCTTTTTAGCTAAAGATGCTGATGAAAAGAAGTCTCGTCATAAGGGCAAGTCCACGAGCAAGCGCGGCAGTGATGCTAAGAAGAAAGAGGGAGGCGACAAGTCAAAGGCGGGAGCTGGAAAGCCGGTCGCTGAATCTACTCCTGGCGAGACCAAGAAGGGCGGAAGCAAACGCAGCAAGCATTCAGGAAAATCCAAGGAGAAGACAAAGAAGGCAGAAGGAGGAACTCCGGCTGAAACACCCAAAAAAGGGGATGATAAGAAGAAAAAGGAAGCTTCTGACAAAAAGAAAGGTAAACCAAAATTAATTTTCGAGTAAAGCTAACAATAAATTCATTAAAATTCTAGGTGCAACTGAAGGTGGAGGGGAGAAAGGAAAGAAGGCAAGCAAGCGCAAGAGCCATCGGGACAAAGGAAAGGAGGCAGCTGCTACAAAGTCAACATCGAGCACGGCTGTTCAGTCTAAGGCTGGTGATGGTACAAAGACCGCTATCGACACCGGACCCGCAGGCAAGAAGGAAGACAGGAAAAGTAAGGGAGCCATTTGATTTAAACTTTTTAATTTTTTCATTTTAGAAGGAAGCCAGCGCAGCGCTCGGACCAAAAGTGAGACGAAGGCTTCTGGGAGCAAAAGGACCACAGGCGGGGCGAAGGTTTCTTCGAGCAAAAGGACTCCGAACAAAGGAAAGGAGGCAGCTGCTACAAAGTCAACATCGAGTACGGCTGTTCAATCGAAGGCTGGTGATGGCACAAAGACCGCTATCGTCGACACTGGTCCTCCTGCAGGCAAGAAGGAAGACAAGAAAAGTATGGAATCCATCTGTTTTAATTTTCTTAAAATAATGTTTTCATTTTAGAAGGAAGCCAGCGCAGCGCTCGGACCAAAAGTGAGACGAAGGCTTCTGGGAGCAAAAGGACCACAAGCGGGACGAAGGTTTCTTCCAGCAAGAGGACCACAAGCGGAACAAAAGTCGGGCACAGCAAGCGCAAAAGTGGAGTCAAGTCGTCTAAAAGGGAAGGATCAAAAGCTGAAGGGCCATCTAAGGAAACTGAGAAGAGTGCTGGTGAACCGAAGAAAGAAGACGTGCAGGCTCCTGCGGCGCCGATTGCTGAGACTACCAAAAAGCCAGAAGAAAAGAAGGAAGAAGTAAAGGATATCATCACCAAGCCTGAAGAAGCAGCTGTGCCCAAGAAGGAAGAAAAGGACCAGCAAGCGAAGACAGAAGGAAGCACTCCTGCGCCATTGGCTCCGACTACTGCTGCTCCAACCGAGAAAGCCACGGAAGGACAACCGCCAACTGCTGCACCACCACCAGCGCCTCTTCCTGCTCTGAATCTTGGAACGATGAGTGGATTGTATGAGAACGTGTCTGCTGGACTTCCTGATACTCCCCCTCCTCCTCCCCCTCAAAATCCTTAAATTGCACCTTTTGTTGTATATTTTCTTCTGTCCCCCTTCTATACTCAATGTTGTGTGTTGTATATATTATTGTTAGGCTATACACCTAGGTATTTGTGTGTTATAATTCCTTATCTCAGATATATGTATTTTGATTGAATTGTATGTATTGTGATATGTATTGTACCTATTTATGTATTGTACATATTGAATATTTTTGTGTATATAAAATGTAGTATTTTGCGGTTTATCAAATTCTTTTTGGAGAAAATTTTAAATTTCTAAAATATTGCCTAAATTATTCTGACAATTTTACTGCCCAAGTTGCCTACTGTACTTACATAAGTTTAAATCGCCAAAAATTTCGGATAAAATTTCTCGTATAGCGAAATTAGCGCGATTTGAAGATGTTCAGTAATTTGGTGGATTAAGAGATCCAATTCCACTCCAAATTTCTGTGCTTTTTAAATTTTCAAATAAATTTATTAATTTTTTGCGGACGTCATTCAGTTCTTGAACGAGACAAGTTAATTGGTACCAAAATCATTCATTTTCAATGAAGTTAAACTTTGGTAACTTTGGCATAAAAAATGTTTAAATTCTCTAGAGTTCGGGCTCGTTTTTTTTTGCTTTATGAGGACCGAATTTTTATTATTTGGTACTAAGAAATTCTTAGAGTGTCGAAAATCCCGGAAAACAACACTTGGGACTAATTTTGTGTGGGACGAATTAAGGGTGCGCCCCAAAATACTCTGGGTTCGGTGGGGGTACCTTTCCGTGCAGCCGATTCCGTTCCAAAACCAGTTCCGTGCCGCCGATTCTAAATCCTCAGATATCTCCTATACCCCCAGAGTAAAAAAATAGAATTTAAAAACAAATAAAAAAATTTATCAAAAATGCAGGATAACTTCATTTTAATTTAATTTTTCGACGAACCTTCCAATTTCAGTCGATTCAAAAAAGGTTAAGGAATTCTTTTAAAACATTTTATTAGATAACTAAAATTGTTAACCCTAAGGAAATTGTTAAGATCACTTTGAAAATTATAACAGAACTAAACATATTTATTCAAAACAAAAATAATAAATGAGAATAGAAAAAAGCTCACACAGAAGAACAACAGAGAAACTTATTTTGAAGATCATGCAAAACATATTTACGAATCCAATTCTCACCATACAGGGCTAAAAAATAACAGAAATAATAGGGGTAAATAGAATGGATGTGAAATAAATATAGTAAATAAATGTTAGAAAATAAATATATTTTAATAAAACTGTTAAGCTTCATGACGTTGATGCTTCTTATAATGCTTCGAGCAGTGAATGCTGCAATCCATCAATTCAGCTTTTCCACAGTTGTACACTCCTCTCTTCAAAATTGAGCATATCTGAAATTTATTTTTTGCGGGAAATTTAGGTACTTTTCGGTTATGAGGTCACACTTTTTAAAAAGTTTTAAAATGGTAAATATATCATATATAGGGTAGAAAAAGGTGCCGAGTCGAACGGTACCAATCTTTTTTCACGGAGATTCTTGTGGACCGAGATATAGGGCTCGAAATGGTCAAAAACCATAGGCTCCATAGGTTTGCGTTGACCATTTTGAGCTTGTTCATCTGCTCTCAGAATCAAGATTTCGAACTGATTTTGGTGTCATTCGACTCAGCTCGAGGAGCTCTTTCGAATGAGCTATCATTCAAAAAATTTAATTTTTCACCCCAAAAATGAGCTTACTACTCCCTATGGTTTTTGACCATTTCGAGCCCTATATCTCGGTCCACAAGAATCTCCGTGAAAAAAGATTGGTACCGTTCGACTCAGCACCTTTTTCTACCTTATATATGATATATTGACCATTTTGAGAACTTTTTAAAAAGTGTGACCTCATAACCGAAAAGTACCGAAATTTAAATTAAAATAAAAAAGTTGATTGTGAGACAAATTAAGAGGGAATTTTATTTTTAGTAGAATTCGATATTTTGGTAAAATTTAGATAAATCTGGGTTTTCGGGGTTTTAACTATCTGGCCTGGGAGGTAAAAGGTTCAGAGGTAAAACCAGCGAAATAGTACCAAAATGAAAATTTTGGCTCGTAAACTTTAAAGTTCCCCATAAATCGCATAAAATAAAAAAAACCTCATCATAGAAACGCGCCTCTACTACTTCTGGTGTTTTCAACCATTTGAGGATTACATTGAAGATTTCACTCATTAGACAATCGTATTTCTTTGCACTGAAGGAGAATTTTTAGAAATTTAAAGTAAATCAACATACCAATAAATTCTTCCAGTTTTATGCATTTCTTGTTTAGTATAACTTTAAGAAAAAATAAATATATTTTCAGATAGTTAAGCCTTCTCGAGCAATACGCCCCCTCATACCCGCCCACATATATTCAGATTAAGGTTGGGGGCCCGGTTCGGTTCGACAGATCGAATCGGGCATCGAACTTTGACCCAAAAAATGACTCGAACGTCGGCCCTGTTCGAAAAATCCAACCCTAATTCAGATAACAAGTGAAAGGATGCCAAATCAAACTAAAGCACAGTTTGGTATTTTGGGGGCTTTAAGGGCTTGGCATTCGTTTGGTATATTGAAGACTCTTGGAACAAAATGAGTCGTCATATGGAAGGAAGTGATGTGTGGGAGGGCGACGTGTTAGAGAAGTTCACGCGTACCGAGAATCTAAAACAACCTACCGTATATTAGAGCGAGGCCCGACTACATAAAATTCAAAAAATACCGAATCCCCGAATACGTCGTCGCATAAGTAGATCTACGGAATTCCGGTTCAGGCCATCCGATATCCCACGGAATCGAGCCACATAAAATGTGATATAAACAATAAAACCATCCTAAAAAATAATTTTTTTTATAATTAAAATGCCAATTTTTAAACCTTCAACATCGTCAACAGGAAAAGTCCGCTAAAATTTTCAAAAAAAAATTTTTCAAAAAATTTTCAAAAAAACCCTAGATCCAGTCATTTGTACCAATGGGGCAGATTCTGCTGTGCCAAAACCCTTTGAACCGCGTATTTTCTGAACAGTTGGTTTACCCGATTCAATATCCTTGTATTTTTGAGACAATTCAAAGTCATAAACGTAGAATTTCAGACGATGATCTTTTGTTATGTGAACACCAAAGTTCTCCATCTTGACATCCCTTGAGACAAAGCCAAGTAGATGAAGCTCCTTCAAGGCAAGGAGAGTCTAGAAATAGAAAAATTCATTTTAAGTTTAGGCCTATAAAAATCTTTTATTCTGTTCTACGTAAAAATGGTAAGGGCCAAAATGGTTAATTGGATAAAAGATTATCATGAATAAAACATTCGACCATTTTGAGACCTGACCATTTTGCAAAAAATTATATCCTTATAAATATTGGACTGTACTTCACGAGCAGCCTTAAACCTCATTGCCTCAGACAATCCAGGTATTCGACTAAGCCATGTTTTGACATCTCTCAGATTATTATACCTCAAAAATATATAAATTCTTTAAGTTTAAAGTTCAAAAAACCTTGTCAGAATGTAGAATTTATGTTGACTATCTCGACTTTTGAAGAAAACTGGGAGTTCGCCAGAGGCGAGTAATTCTTGTATACGAGTGAATTTATTGTCAGGAATAGATTGCAGAGTACGATAAACCTCCATCTTAAATTAATTTTTTTGTAAAGTTTATTTGAATAAACCTCCTTCTTCCAAACATTCTCAGACGAAGCTTTGAGGGCGAAAAATTCTGACTCTTGTTTTGAAATGTATACTGTAGATCTTTTACCGTTATGGATAGGTCTGTCTAATATTGAAGAAAACATCGCCAATTCGGGACGCCAATTAGGAGATATGAAGAAATTAAATATATATTAGAAATATTACTGTAATTTTAAAAATATATTACTGTAAAGATGACAAAGATTAAGGATGATGACAAAGATTAAGGCACTAACACAGACAGTCTCCTACAAACAATATTCTTAAATAAATAGTTTCATTCGAGTTGGAAACCATAAAAATGTGAAGCCGCTTAAAATCGGGGTAGGGGACGACTCAGTATCGCCGATTCAGTATTCATCGATACTCCGTTTTGGTGCAAAACTAGAATGATCAGATAAGGCCAGACCAATTATGAAAAAGATGCAGCACCACGAGGCTTATCAAATCATATATAATAACTCCTAAAATATTAATCGAGCAAAAAGTTATGGCCAAAAAGCCCAAATACTGAATCGGCGTACTGAATCGGCGATACTGAGTCGTCCCCTACCATAAAAAGATATACTCAGGTGGCAGATTCATCGATAGTCCGTTTTGGTGCAGAATAGTGAGTGCGGAACATTAAGGCCTTTTTAACGCTAATCCACGTTCATTAAAATTTAATACTATAAAAGTAAACTTAAAACTCGCTAGATAACCTCAATCTTCTTATTCCCCCAAACAAACAAACAACAAACAAACAATCTTCTTCTTCTCAACGATGGGTCAGAACAACAAGGACGACAACAAGAAGTCCAAGGAAAAGAAAGGATCGGCAAGCAACAACAAAGGTGGAGGAGACGGTGAAATTGTTCGTGGTCAATCAGTCCAAGCAAAAGCTCAAAGCCCAGCTCGCAAGACAATCGCAAAGAGGCAAAAGGCACCAACTTCGTCAAAGAAGGCAAAAAGTGGACGTCGTCGTTCTGTTAGCAGCGGAGGAAGTGCGAAATTGAGGAAGCGCAAGCCGAAGCGCACATTCAAGTTAGTTTTTCTTGTTAAACACAAACTTGTAAATAAAATTTTATCTTTTCAGAGTGCACATCTATCGCGTGCTGAAGGATGTTCATAAAGGTGAAATGCGTATTTCGAAGCGTGGAATGGATGTTATGAACAGGCAATAATTTTAATACTATACAAAAAATTTGGGTTGTCGGTTCTTGGGAAATCTTCGGATATCTGGGACCCCAAATCCAATACTAAACATTTTTCAACTCTTGGTTAGCCACTGGGTAGGGTCCAAGTCAATTTAAGTTCCAAAATATTTGGACTAAAATTTCCTATTTTTTTACAGTTATTGTATGGATTTCTTCGACCGCATTGCTTCCGAGGCTGGTGGACTCTCCCTCATCAGTAAGAAACCAACTCTGTCTCTTCGAGATATGCAAAGTGCAACGAAAATGGTTCTGCGTGGCGAGCTTTGTCTTCATGCACTCAATGAGGGCAAAAAGGCTGTGAAGAAGATTGAGATGGAAGGAAAGACGAAGGCTAAATGATGAGAATATAAAAGGAAGATATTGTGAAATGTATATTGTGATACAATAAAATGTATTGTGTAATATGTTGTATGTAATATGTATATTGTCATAAATAAATATTTGTCTCTGACTGATAAATTTGGCGAAAATATTTTTTTTTGTAGTATTTGGGCTTTTTGATCATAATTTTTTGCTCAATCAATATTGTAGAAATTTTTATATATGATTTAATAGGCCTCAGGGTGCTTCATCTTTTTCATAATCGGACTGATCTCATCTGATCACTCTCCAAATCGTTATCACTGATAAACGACGTCACAGGCATAAAAAATCGGTTTTCATGCTGTAACTTTTTTTGTAATCATCAAATCAAATCTGGCCAGTTATAAAAAAATGTTAAATCCCATATCTTTCGAATAATATGAGAATTATTCGAATCGGCCGAATATCAGGAAAGTTATGACCATATACTGAATCGTCCTTAACCGGCTCTGGTTGGATCCGGCCCGGCGCTGATATTATTAAATATTTGTCAAATAAACGAAAATTTTCCATTAGATAAAACAAAAATTTATTTATGTCGTCTCTACGTGCTATTATTTGCCCATCAATATTGAATACTGACCTTGCTGAACTTGCTAATGAGGTTTTTTTAATTTAAATATATCTTAATTAATTTTTAAGTCTCGTAAATTGTTAAATTGTGGAGCTGATTTTTTACATTTGGATGTAATGGATGGTAAGAGAATTGTTTTATCTTTTTTTTCTTAATTTAAAAAGGTCATTTTGTGCCGAATTTAACGTTTGGACATCCATTAATTGAGTGTTTGAGGAAGCAATTGGGACCTAATCCTGTAGGTTTTTTTAATTTGGAAAATATATGAGAATTTTTGTTCTGAATAATATTTTTTCTAATTTTTTTAAACCTTTTTTTTTAGTTTTTTGATGTCCATCTAATGGTTTCTAATCCAGAACAATGGCTAATTCCTATGCACAAAGCAGGAATTAATCAATTTACTTTTCATCTCGAAGCTCCAAGTTTTATTGGAGAAGACGACAAAGTGTTTTCTTTAATTAATAAAATTAAATCTTTGGGTTTAAAATGTGGAATGGCTATTAAACCAAAAACTGAGGTTTTCTTATTTTTTAAATTTATTTTTAAAAAATTTATTTTAAGGTTAAAGATATGCTGAAATTTGCAAAGGAAATTGATACAGCTTTGAGTAAGCAATTAATATTTCTAGTAAAAAAATTATTTTTAGCCCTCCCTTCATTGGGTGTTTGGGTTTATTATTTTATAGTTTAAAATTTTCATAAAAATCTAACCAATCGATTTTTAATACTATATTTTTATGGGTTTTTTAAATAAAAATGATAGAATCTTGTATAATTCGGCGTATACCATCGAGTTGCACATGTGGCACCAAAGTTAACTTGCTATAAATTGCTATGTCTAATTATGGTTTGCGGCCCCGATTTTGACATTGATCCCATAAATTAAATTTCCAATGTCAATAATATACCAAAATATTCAAAATTTATTTTTAAGTAATGACAGTTGAACCGGGTTTTGGTGGACAAAGCTTTATGAGTGACCAACTTGAAAAAGTTAGAATAATTAGAAAAGAATATCCTTCTTTAAATATTCAAGTAGATGGAGGGGTTGGAATTGAAAATATTGAAGAATGTGCTAATGCAGGTTTGGTTTTTAATTTATCCGAAAAAATTATTTTTTAGGTGCTAATTTAATTGTTTCTGGTACTGGAATTATTCGTTCACCAAATCCTTGTGAAACAATAAAAATATTGAGAGAGTCGGTACAAAGAGTTTTGGATAAATAAAAGCAATTGAGGTTTTGATTTTTTTTTTAATAGATATATAACAGATATATATTTTTTGATTAAATTATTTTTTTAGATTTATAAATTATTTTATAAAGATTCTTAAATAAATAAATATTAATTAATTACTAATTGGTTTATTTGATTTAATTTATTTAAAAAAATTAAAATACTTTTATTTTGAAAAAATGTTTTTTAAATTTAATTAAGTTAGAAATTTGTTTAGACCTCAGGAAAGTACCTAGAAGTACGATTTGACTTTAATAGAGGTAAGTACATTGATTCACATAAATATACTTCCGCATTTATTTTCATAAGAGATGTTTCGAAAAATGCTTGTGGAATCATAAAAATTTTGACATTCTAGTATAATACTAAAAAGCGCAAAAATGTTGGGAATATAGTTATATTTTATCTGCATAAAAGCGAATTATAATTTTAATTTAACTTTTTTTTCTCATCAGATTTATGAAAGAATGCCCTATTTTCTTATTTGTTGGTGGATTTCTAATTCAGTTTGCTTATGTTGTTTCAATAAATACATTTTATGATCACAATAAATCGAGGGATTATATTCCAAATGTTTGGAGACGTTTTATAGTTGCTTTTTTAAATAATTTTTTTGGAATTATTTTGACATATCAATTAATTGGAGTGGTAAATAATTTTTAAAATTTTTAGAAATTGTAATTAGGGTTGCGTTTTATGACGACCCAGCGTCTGAATAAACTTTCCAGCGCAATTTTATTGCTTTTTAGGACTCCATTTTTTGTTTGTGGTATTCAAGTTTTGGGTTGAATTTTCGAGAAGTCTTCATCTTCTTACATATATTCCTTCAGAATTTTTCCCTTCAGAAAAAATCCTTCAGAATTTTTTTAAAAATCCCTTCAGACTTTTTGCTGTCTAACAAGCCCTTAATTGAGATAAAATTCCAATACTTTTAAAAATAATTCTTTTCCAGTTTTATGATCATCCTTTCATTCAAATGGGATTTCGCTCAAATAATTTATTTTTTGCCATTTTATTGCCATCTTTACTTACTTTAGTATTTTATTTGGGAACTATAGCTACATTAATAATTGATGGAAATTTTCAATTTAAAGGTTTTATTTTAATTTTTAAAATTTAATTTAGTAAATTTTTTTTCGGTTTTTGGAAGCAATTTAATGATATTTTATGGATTAGACAGTCAATTATGGTTAGAAAATTAAAAAATATTTTGTTACTTTTCGGTTATCAGCCCCCACTTTTTATCCTTTTCTTTCCTTTATTTTCTCCATTTTCTAAAATATCTACGTTTGTTGAATATATTTTTAGTTAATTTGTTTTCAACAAATAATTCATTAAAATACTAATATTTATGTGCATCAGTATCAGAGCTGGACGCAATTGAAAAAAATTTAACCGCAGACGCAATCCCAATTGCGTCCAGCACTGATCTGTATAGCATTTTTAAATTTAATCAAGCAAAAATTATACATAAAATGTTATTTCTCTGATTGGCTGCTTTTCTTAAATAAATTTAAATTCTTTACCATTATTTATTCAGAGCATTCGTAATATTTTGAAGAAAAGGAAGAAAAGCAAGGGCGTATAACCGAAAAGTATTTTTCTTTAAATTATTAATTTCTAAGGCTCCAATAACTGAAGAAATTTCTTTTCGTGCTTGTTCTGTCCCATTATTAGCTCATTGTTTGGGAAATAATTTAACTATTTTTGTTGCTCCAATTGTTTGTTTTTAAATTATATTTTTATTTTATTCTTTTTCAGAGTTTTTCTTTTTCACATATTCACCATTTAATTGAAGATAGAAAAAGGGGAATTTCGTTATCTAATGCTTTTGCTTCTAGAGGTTTTTTTTAATTATTTTTTTAATTTTGGAGTATTTTTTTGTTATCTGTCCAATAAATCTTTTAAAATATTTTCATTTTTTTTAATTTTAAAGTTTTTCAAATGCTCTACACATATTTATTTGGATTATATGCAACATATATATTTTTTCAAACAGGTTAAAATTTATTGAAAAATTGGTTCATCGATATTTACGGGCAAAGACACAATTCAATTAATAATGTTGAATTGAATTTAGTTTTGGTATTAAAGTATTGCATATTTTTAGCTGAAAACAGAAAGTTTTTGTATCAAATGTCTGTTAATGTCGATCTACTTGAAAAAATTATTTAAAAATTTTAAATTAATTTTTATTTAAGGAAATATAATTTCTCCAATTATTTGCCATTCAATTTGTAATAATTTTGGAGTGCCATTGATTGATGATGTTGAATTATTTAAATCAAAAAGAATTAGAATTTTGCTTTATTTTTTGCATTTTTTTGGATTTTTGTGTTGGTTGGGTTTATGCCCTTATTTTTTAAATAATAAATTGTTTGTTTAAATATTAAGAAAAAATTTTTTGTTTTATTTTTTAAAGAATATCGGGCTAATTACGGGGAATTAGTAGTAGAATTTTTTGATTTTATTTAAATTATCTAATTTAAGTTTTTATCCTATAGTAATACCACAAATAACTTTGCAAAATAGATACTTATTTTTTTAGTATTTTTTCTAAAATGATACTAGACATTTCTAAAAATACAATTTACAAAAAAATATAGCTAACTAAATTTTTTTAAAATGTTGCAAAAAATCTGTGCTTTGATTTTCTGACATTTTCGGTTTATATGTCACCTGAATTTTAAGAATTTAATGTTTAAAGAATTAAAGTTTGGAGGAGTTTTAGAGAATTTCTATTTTTATTTTTTTCCTCTATTCTAACAGTTGCTTCTTTTAAAACAAGAAAACTTTTGTCTCAAAAATATTTTAGGAAAAATATTTGGATTTTGACAAAAAAAATTGAGAGAGAGGTGTGTGATCTGTTAAAATTTATTTAAAAAAAGGCGAAAGATGAATTAGATTGGAAAATTTTTAAAAAATGAAAGTTGACACGAGCCAAGGAAGTAGTTAGGCTGGCAATTCATTTTCCTCTTAAATGTTTAAAAAATGTTTTTTATTCCCTCTATAAATTTTTTGTCTTCTTTTAAAATTGAAACTTACAAATATTGAAGTTCCAAAATTTGAGATTATTTTTGATAGTTTTAAGTCTTCATTTTCATCGATATACTAAAGAATTTGATCTTCCAGACGGAGTTTATTCCCTCTCTCCTTGATAACAAGCTGATCACTTTCCTTTGATTATTAATCCTTATAAGATCTTATAATAAAGTCGGGAGCGGGGGTGAGCGCATTGCGTTATTTGCGTTTAAGCGCTCACCCCTGTTCGAGAGTATTTCCTAGGCACTCCATCCCCCCCCCCCCTCCCCCCCCCCTCCCCTTCTCCTCCTTCCGTGGAAACAACTAAATTAATTTTTTATCCAAACATTATTTTTGCCCTTTTTATTTTTCAATTTCTTTCCAAAGTATAAATTAGCCTCGATTCTAATTCTTTTGGGAACAAGAATTTTTATATTGGAAACTAAATTTATTTTATAAAAAAAAAAGAAAATAGCAATTTAATAAGGATTGGAATTATTTTTTGCTTCAAAGAATTTTTAAAAGAAATGGCCGATAAATGGCCAAACAATTTTGGGGCCATTTATTTTTTGTTGTGCCAATGCTTTTTGTTAATGTCTACATAGTAGAATTTTTTATATTTTTTTTCATTTTTTGCCTCATCTTGTGCCAGCATTTATAATACAGGGTGCGGCAAATTAAGCGCGCGTTTGTTTTTTGCCATAACTTTCTTCAATTTTAATGAAAATTGATAATTCTTTTTTTGTTTTATTCCCAACACGTTAGGAAACTTGCTTATACCAAACATTAAAAATTTGGTTCACTGTTGGCAAAGATAATCGAGTTCGATCGTCTGGAAAATTTAAAAACATTTTTTATGCCAAAGTTTAATTGATCATAACTTCGTTCAAAATCGTTCAATACCAATGATTTTGGTACTATACGACTCATCTCGTTCAGGAGCATTGAAATAGCTTATAATCTCATTTTTGAAAATTTTACACAAAAATTTTATTTTTATCAAAATTATTTTAATTTATATTCAGAGAACCGTATCTCATTCGATTTTTGTCGTAGCCCCATGATTTTTATGTCATTCGAATCAGAATGAAGAGCTGATTCGAATGATATAAACATTTCCAATATTAAAATCCCAGCCTTGAATCTAGGCCAATTTTTATCCAAAAAATTCTGCTCAAACTTTGAGGGAAGTTTACTCAGAGTAAGCTTAAAATTAAAAAGCAATTTTGGTATCAGCAAGTTTCCTAAAGTGTTGGGAATAAAACAAAAAAAGAATTATCAATTTTCATTAAAATTGAAGAAAGTTATGGCAAAAAATAAACGCGCGCTTAATTTGCCGCACCCTGTATTTTAATGTATATATCCCCTAAATATTTTCTTTTTTAAAAACATTTTATGAAAGATGTTTTTGTTTTCATCTTTTAAAGTAACCTATAAGTATATATTTTTGGGTATTTTTAAATATAGAGAGGCTGTTTATGTCTATGTATATTACTTTTTAATGCGCGATAAAAATGTTATTAGGATATAGCTATTTATAAAGATGTTTACTGCCTTGAAACATAATATGAATCTGATTTGCGGCCGCAGATTTTAAAAATAGAATTGTTAGTTGTGACTGCCCAAAATTTCCTTGAGCACTGATCGCCATGCTTGATTTAAGCACATGATTCATTGAATTTTTATTTGTGCTTATTTCGCTTTTTTGTTATCTACTTTTCCATTAATTACAAAATAAAAATCGTTTTCCAACAATGGAATCGAACTTTCGTCCTATTAGTCGTTGAAGTATAAATCTTTCCTCTACACTATGTGTCCTTGGAGTGCCCCAAAAAAGTCTATCAAAGTCTCTCCAACTTTGGTAGTTTTGAGTTGAGGATCTTAAAATACAATACCCACGGGATGATACATAAATCTCTCGTCCTTTCACATTAAAACAAAAAAGTTCCTTCTCATTTTTGATAAATATT